TTTTTTTTTTTTTTTTTTAAACAGAGTCTCATTTGGTCACCCTTGGTAGAGTGCTGTGGCATCTTAGCTGACAGGAACCTCAAACTCTTGGTTTTAAGCGATTCTCTTGCCTCAGCTTCCCACATAACTGGAACTATAGGTGCCCGCCACAATGCCCAGCTGTTTTTAGAGACACGGTCTTATTCTTGCTCAGGTTGGTCTTAAACCTGTTGGCTCAGGCAATCCACCCACCTCAGCCTCCCAAGTGCTGGGATTATAGGCATGAGCCATTGTGCCAGGCTAGGTTTTCTATTTTTAGTAGAAATTGGGTCTTGCTTTTGCTCAGGCTGGTCTCAGATTTGTGAACTCAAGCAATCCACCTGCCTCAGCCTCCCAGAGTGCTGGGATTACAGGTGTGAACCACTGTCCCCGGCCTTGGCTAACAGTTTAGATATATTCTTCCAGATAATTTAATACACAGATACTAATCTATCTAAGTTTTTCTTAAATAGCTTCATACTATTCACACCATTGTCCAACATTCCCACTGGGAAATCAAGGACACTCTTGAATGATTATGTGAAGTGTGCAGAGATTTTGAGTTTAAATATCTAGTGAGAATCGAATGAGAAACCATATTGCCCATTTCCTCTGCCAGTCCTCTCTCAGAGCCAGTTCCGGGATTGGAAGGCCCTGAGCTGCCTCTGTATCTCTTTTCCTGTGAGGGACAGCTCCAGGGGGCGGTCCCTTTTCGCTCCTCGGTGGGTCAGTGCCAGGCGGCGTTTGGACCCTCTCTTGGAGGTCACAAACCAAGGGAGAAGGCCAGTAGCTGCTCACAGCCCTCCGGGGGGCCTCAGCTGGGCCCTCCTCGCTCCAAGCGCTGGAACAGAACCGTGGTGCCCCAGGGTTAACTATTGCTCCTCAATGTCACCTCCCACAGGAACTAAACCTATCGCCTCGGGGTTTAAACCCCTCTGTGCAGATGCTGCCTCCGCTGACTAAGCGATGGCCTGAGCCTGCCACTCTCCACACACTGACAAGCTTTTCCTCGAGCTTGCCCGAGCTCAGGGGTTCCCACACCTGGTCCGAAGAGTAGCCCTCACGTGAGGCCTGCAAGCTTCGGGCTCCCGGGTTGACTCAGTCCCACAGCCTCTGCAGAACCCCTTGCCGCCCCCGTGACTCAGTTTCTCTATTTGCTCACGCGGACCAACGGCAATGAGACACCTGACAGGAATGAGGACGGTGCCTCCAATAGCTTTCCCGCAGTGCGTGGCTCTAGGGTGGGGTCCCGGAGATGAGAGTTTACGCCGTTCAGACCACTCTTGAACGTGACCTGAACTGGCCTTGAGACTGAGTTCACGCTGTGTGGAGTGTCGGCGACACCGCCGGGTACACTAGCAGGACCGCTGGGAAGACACCACTTGGGACCCGTCAGCCGCGTCTCCTGCGACATCCAAGCCATGGAGGGGCTTCCGGGAGACGCTCGAAGCCCACGTCGGTGCCGGACCAGTGCCCACTGCCCGCTGCCTGACGCAATTCAAGGCTCCCTTGCTGCATGCGGGCGCTGGGGAAACCTCCCCTGCAGTTGCATCACTCCTGCCAGGTTTGCTACGCTACGGAGGGGAGCCGAACCAATCAAAGGGCGCGCTGGGATCGGGGTAGACTGTTCAGCCACCCACTCAGAGGGCGGCGCGATAAAGCGATGAGCAAAATCCAAGGATGATTGGCCAAAAGGGATTTGCCCCGCCCCAATCACCGCAGCTTCTGGCGGCGGTGGGCGGGGTCTACCTGCCAGGGGGTTTAAAGAGCGCCTCTGTAGGTGGGCGCTCAGCTGGAGCGACCAAGCGGTGCCAGGCCAGGTGTGAGCGTCCGTCGGTCCTTCCGTGCCCACGCCGGAGACCGGCCCCGGAGGCCGCCTGGGCCCATTCCTGAGCCCGGCACCATGAAGCAGGAGTCCGCAGCCCCGAACACCCCGCCCACATCACCGTCCCCTCCGACCTCCGCTCCGCACCCCCGAGACGACAGCGATTCTCTGTGGATTTTTGGGTACGGCTCCCTTGTGTGGAGGCCCGACTTCGCTTACAGCGACAGCCGAGTGGGCTTCGTGCGCGGTTATAGCCGCCGTTTCTGGCAGGGAGACACCTTCCATCGGGGCAGCGACAAGATGGTGAGCATCCAACTGGGCCCGGAGGAATAAGGGAAATGGTGACAGTACAGTGAGTGCCAGTGTCCTGGAATGTTTGGGGCTCTCAGGACTGATAGAGGGAAACGTGTAAACCCGTTTCTGGGGTTTGTAGCTTAAATGTGGTGTCCAGTGGGTCACTGTGATGGCTGGAATCCCTGAACCCTGTACATTCTTGTGTTGGTTACCAATCTGGGCCACAGGCCTATATCTATCTTACTATTTCTCCTGCATCTATACATCCTTCTCCCACATCCCCATGCATGAGTGGTACTCTGAGCATGTAGAGTGGGGGTCTCCGAGGCCTGGGCCAATGGGGTTTCCTTGCACTGATGGCAGAGCTGATTTCTAACTTGTCTTTTTCAAAATCTCTCTTCCTTTTCTAGCCTGGCCGTGTAGTGACTCTCCTTGAAGATCATAAGGTATGTGTCTAAATCAAGAGGGGGACCCTGAGGCAAAACGTGGAAGGGTGTAGACAGTCAAAGCTCAGAGAGGCCCTAGTCTGGGAGCTAGACTTGATGCCAGAACAGAAGCTGGTCTAGCTCAGTGTTTCTCACAAGAATCACCTGTGGATCTTGTTAAAGTGCAAATTTTAACTCAGGATTAGAGTGGGGCCTGAAATGAAGCATACTTAACAATGAGCTTACAGGTGATGCCACTGGTTCCTGGAGCACACTTTGAATAGGAATCTTGTCATTCTCTGGGCCTACATCACCTCATCAACTCTTTTTTTTTTTTTTTGAGACAGAGCCTCAAGCTGTCCCCCTGGGTAGAGTGCTATGGCTTCACTGCTCACAGCAACCTCCAACTCCTGGACTCAAGCGAGTCTCCTGCCTCGGCCTCCCAAGTAGCTGGGACCACAGGCGCCCGCCACAACGCTCGGCTATTTTTTGGTTGCAGCCATTGTTGTTTGGCAGGTCCGGGCTGGAATCGAACCCACCACCTTAGGTGTATGTGGCTGGCGCCTTAACCGCTTGAGCCACAGGCGCCGAGCCACCTCATCAACTCTTAAAGGGGGAAGCCAGTGTGCTGGCTCATGCCTATGATCCTAGCACTCTGGGAGGCCGAGGCAGGCAGATTGCCTAAGCAAGAGCAAGACCCTGTCTCTAAAAAATAGCTGGGCATTGTGGGGGCAGGGGCACCTAAAGTTGCAGGTACTTGGAAGGTTGAGGTAAGAGAGTCACTTGAGCCCAAGAGTTTGAGGTTGCTTTGAGCTATGACTCCATGGTACTCTACTGAGGGTGATCAGGTAAGACTCTGTCCCCCTCTCCAAAAGAAAAAAAGAGGAATAAGGGCTTGATATATTGCCGCCATATGGCTCCTTAGCTGGCCATTTATTTCCTTTATAGAACACACCTTAGGGCTGGAGGTGGGGTAGCACTTTAAGATGGGTGGGGGACCCGCAAGTAGCTATTTTCACTGACCCCAGATGTCCCTGTTTCCTCCTAGGGCTGCACTTGGGGTGTGGCATATCAAGTGCAAGGTGAGCAAGTAAGCGAGGCTCTGAAGTACCTGAATGTGCGGGAGGCAGTTCTCGGCGGCTACGATACCAAGGAAGTCACTTTCTATCCCCAAGATACCCCTGACCAGCCACTCAAGGCATTGGCCTATGTGGCCACCCCACAGAACCCTGGCTATCTGGGCCCTGCACCCGAGGAAGCCATTGCTACGCAAATCCTGGCCTGCCGAGGCTTCTCTGGCCACAATCTTGAGTACTTACTGCGTCTGGCAGACTTCATGCAGCTCTGTGGGCCTCAGGCACAGGATGAGCACCTGGCAGCCATTGTCGATGCTGTGGGCACCATGCTACCCTGCTTCTGCCCCACGGAGCAGGCTTTGGCACTGGTCTGAGGGGCTAGGCCCCTGCAGGGAGTGCCCTTATGGACATTGGGGCCAGATACCCACTCCAGTGCCCAAGACTCACTTAAACAGCCCACTAAGAGGACATGGTAGGTGGCTGGAGCTTCTCTAAGCCTCTGCCTGTCTGCCAGCCTCCAGCACTCTTTTCAACACTGACTTACTACTTGAAACTTTATTTATTGCACCATGTTGGTGTGGTGGGCAGGGTGGGGGCCTGCCCTGGACAAAGGGGCCCTGCTGAGCAGTGGCCTCACCTAGGCACGTGGAGCCTGACCAGATTCTCCCCTATGCTGCTAACCCCACCTCCACCTCTCAAGGGAGTCTCCAAGAGCCTTGATCCTTTGCCCTTCCAGACCAACCATTCCATAGCCCTGGAAATAACACCTGCCAAAGGCCCCACCATGCTGGATGAGGGGCAGCAGAGAGTGAGGAGAAGGGGCCCTACCAGGATGGAGGCCCCCAATAGCTCTGCTCCTCTACCAAGGCCCCAAGGCAGAGGTGTATTTCATGCTTGGACAAAACTGCTTACCCATTTGGTTTTGCTTCCCTGTCCCTCTGTCTGCTGGTCTGTCAGGGCCACTGCTGTCTGTCTATTTCTGCAAAGCTCATCACTACAGACCCTAGTACCTTCCCAGTCTGTCCCATACTATTATCCATAAACCAGTGTATCTGTGCTGTGCTGAATGTGGTTCTTTCTTTAGATGAGAAGTTGAGGTGAGCAAGGTGATGAAGCCCTGTAAGGCTCCTGAGGGGAAATGGTTCCCTTTTCTTCTCTTGCCTTCTCTCCAGGAGGGGGTAGCTGAGTAGGTAGGAATACCAGTCACATCAGTCTGTGGGTACATGCCTGCTGAGTTACACAGAATTTAGCTCACGCAGCACTACTAGACATCCCTGTGTGTAGTGTCCTGCCACCAACTTGAGACCCTGTGTCTCACCCTCCCTAGTGCCCCTGAAGAGGCCGGTAGGCTTGGAGCTCAGACCAGCTTTTCCTCCAGTTTCAGGGTCAGCTGCTGCCTCTTTCTGGCAGCTGAGCCAGATCCTGTGCTTCCTACTAAAGGAGTGTGTGGGTTAGGGTAGGATGATAACTTCTGAGGCAAGGCTGGCCCCAGGGACCTGTGGCCCAGAGGACATGGTGTCCCTTTCTTTCGGGGTCCATACGTCATTTGCCTACTGACTCTGGTGTTGGCTATGCCTTCTCTATTACCCTGACCTGCCAGGACTCTTGCTCATGCTGGAATGAGTTGCCAGGGTGCCCTACACTGTTGCTTGTTCATTCCTACCTGTCCCTGGATGCTCCTATCCTGGCCCTTGGGGGCAAACCCAAGCTCCAGGGGCTCAGCCTGGCACTGGACTAACAGGGGAGTGGCTATTTAGTGCCACTAGACTGCTGGAGCTGCAGAATGGAGGCAGGAACAAGATGACAGATTTTAGCAGCAGAAGAGCTTGAGTCCAATCTAGCCTCTTCTCTTACTAGCTGAGTGACCATGAGAAAAGTATTCAGCCTTCTGAGAATCAGTTTACTCTCTGTGACGGGACATTAGCCGTGGAATGACGCAGGGGGCAAGCCAGGCTGTGTGGTATGTGTTGCTGTTGCTTGTGACTGGTGCTGCTTGTGGCAGTTGCCCTGCTTATGGTCAGGGTGTCCCTGGCAGGGTCAGTTCTGACCAAGTTGGGCAGCAATTGTGCCTGGGGAAGGTGCCCATGCCTGGGTTGTCTGCCGATATCTTACTGGCCTCATATCTTGGCCACTGATGGGAAAAGCATGGAGTCCGGCCAGATTCTTCTAGGAGCCAGGGCAACACAACAAGAGGCAGTGGGTGGCAGGGCGCCCTGGTCAGCTGCCTCCTATGCCAAGGCAGGGCCAGACAGCCAGGACAGATCCTTGCTCTATACAGGGCAGTACTGTTGAACACTTGGGGGGCTTACATTCTTCAAGCCATTCATTCAGCAGGTATATACTAAGTTCCACTATGTGCCAGGTGCCATTCTATGCTCTGGAGACGCTGTAGTAAGAAATTTTCCTTTTTAAGGACCTTAGAGTCTAGAAACTGAGGGTGACCGGTATGAAATGGGAGAATAGGGCCTGGAGCATCTAGAACAGGCACCTGACCAGAGTAGGGCAGTCAGGGAAGGCTTTCTGGACGAGGGAGCCTGAGAGGAGCTACTGGGAAACAGTAGGAGAGTCAGGAACACCATGTGCCTGAGGGGGAGGCAAGCTGGCACAGAGCAGCATGGGCCAGGGCACACAGGCTGGACAGGTGGCAGGACTCCATCACTTGGGTCAGCCTAGTGAGCCATGCTATATGGGGTGGCATTCTTTCCGGGTCAGTGGGGTCTTCCAGTGAATTTTGAGCAGGGCAAAGATCTGTGTAAGAGGGAACACTGGCTGCTCTGTCAGACTGGAGGAGGAAGGCCAAAGAGAGGCTGGAGAGAGGTGAAGGAGGCCCAAGCTGAAATATAGCAGTGGGAGTGGACTGGGGAAGGGCGGCAGTATTTGGCTGCCTGGGTTGGATGGGCAGAGTGAGGACAGGGTAGAAACAAAAGGGCCAACGTTCCTGGAGCAGTGGGGACCCCTGAGTGGGCCATGACATCCATGTGGATATTCTCAACAGTATATATGTTGATACAGTGCTCAGGAAAGAAGTCTTGGCTAGAAATACAGATTTGGGAAGCAAACACATGGAGAAGCACTTGAAGTCTTGGGAGGGTAGAGAAGAGGGCTAGACCACACCCTGAGATCCCCATGCCTGGTAATCTAAGCTAAGCCAGAAGAGATCAGAAGGAACCGCTGGAGAAATAGGACGAGACCTAGGAGAAGGTGATTCTAGGGAGTGTACAAGGTTGTCATGCTGCTGAAATGTAAAGGGGAACAGAGGAGTGTCTATTGAATAAAACACCAGGGGGTCCTTGGTGGCCTCAGTGAGAGCAATTTCAGGAACTGTGGTGCTAAGCCACAGGACAGGGCCAGCAGACAGTGAAAAAAGCAGTCAGCTCTCAAATGTGGCTGCAAAGAAGAGAGAGAGGCAGAGGGGTCTCAAGACCTCTTTACAAATGAAAACTTATAGAAGAGGGCTCCAGAGCTTTTGTTTATATGGAATATGGCTACTGACATTTGCTATATTAAAAATTGAAATTGAGAAGTTTAAAACATTCATTAGTTAGGGCAGGCACTGTGGCTCATGCCTATAATCTTAGCATTCAAGGAGGCCAAGGTGGGTGGATCCCTTGAGCTCCAGAGTTCAAGACCAGCCTGTGCAAGAGCAAGACCAGCCTGTGCAAGAGCAAGACCCTCTACTAAAAATAGAAAAAGGGGGAGGGTGGTGCCTGTTGCTCAGCGGGTAGGGTGTTGGCCACATACACCCAGGCTGGCAGTTCCAACCTTGCCCAGGCCAGTTAAAACAACAACGACAACTGCAACAACAACAAAAAAATACCTGGGCGTTGTGGCAGGTGCCTACTGTAGACTCAGTTACTTGGGAGGCTGAGGCAAGAGAATTGCTTAAGGCTTGGCATCTGTAGCTAAGTGGCTAGGACTCAGGCCACATACACTGGGGCTGGCGGGTTTGAACCCAGACCAAGCCTGCTAAAACAACAATGACAACTACAACCAAAAAATAGCTGGGCAGGCCGTGCCTGTAGCTCAGTTGGCAAGGACGCTGGCCATATACACCTAAGGTGGCCTGTTCAAGCCTGGACTAAGTCTGCTAAGCAACAATGACAACTACAACCAAAAAATTGCTGGGCATTGTGGCGAGAGCCTGTAGTCCCAGCTACTTGGGAGGCTGAGGCAAGAGAATTGCTTAAGCCCAAGAGTTCTGGAGGTTGCTTTGAGCTGTGATGCCACAGCACTCTACCCAGGGCGACAACTTGAGACTCTGTCTCAAAAAAAAAAAAAGTAGCTAGGAGTGTGGTGGGCCCCTGCAGTCCCAGCTGCTTGGGAGGCTGAGGCAAAAGAATTGCTTAAGCCCAAGAGTTTGAGGTTGCTGTGAGCTGCGATGCCACAGCACTCTACCGAGGGCAACATAGTGAAACTCTGTCTCTAAAAAAAAGAGAATCACTTAAGTCCAAGAGTTTGAGGTTGCTGTGAACTTCTGGTTGCAGCCCAAGAATTTGAGGTTGCTGAGCACTTTACTTGGGGTGACTGAATGAGATTCTATCTCAAAAAAAAAAAAAATCAATCAATCAATCAAGCTCAGTGCCCGTAGCACAGTGGTTATGGCGCTAGCCACATACACTAAGGCTGGGAGGTTCGAACCCCACCCAGGCCAGCTAAACAACAATGGCAACTGCAACAAAAAAATAGCTGGGCATTGTGGCAGGTGCCTGTAGTCCTAGCTACTTGAGAGGCTGAGGCAAGAGAATC